CAACGTCTTTATTTTGGCTGACAGTGAAGATATAAGGTCGACAACACTAACTGAACTTTCTGTGATTTGTTCTTTGGACTTATTTACCTGCTCTTGTATCCCAGCCTCGGAATGTGTGCAACAGGGCACAGGTTCCTCGACACTCGTGACGGCAACATTATTTACCGTGATTATTCGGTTTTCCACACGCTTTTTCCTCATTGCACGAGTGTTAATGGCAGTCATCAATCTTGTAAATGAGAAGATCAAAGCTATCTATAGTATATGCTATAGCCAAGCGTGAATTCTGGAGTAACAAAGGTCGCTAAGGTCCAGTGATTTACCTATTCAAGTCAACAGACAGGCCACTGTTTCAGATGCAACCAATGATACAAACCAACCGGATGTAAGAGTGCTCAGTTGTCCAAATTCCGCCAAGGGTAGACTGTCCTGCAGTGATCGACCGCTCCGTGCACAGGTATCCCTGAGGTCAACTCCGTGTGTCACGTTATGCCGCAAGTTCCAACAGGCGCACACGCACAAATCCGGCCAAACAAAGAGATTTGTGTGCGTTCGATAGAACGCGATTCACAATGCAGCGTGAGAGCTCTTGGTCAACCAAGGCAGTGTACGAAGATGGAATTGCTTCTAGTCGCCTTATTCAGCTACCGACAGAGTTGGTTTAGGTCTCCTGAAGTAGAGCTAGCAATAAGCTTTCCGTTAATTCCAAAAACCTTGATGAAGGTAGAAAAGTGGTGCACTCGTAGGCGAACGACAAGGCTGAAACAAAGCCAGAATTGAAAACCGGCATCAGACGTTTATCCGTTAATAGTAGCTAATCCCATTACTGCAAGCACTCATTACTTCTTTCAGTAGCTCATTAGTTCATTGGGTAGTATTAGAGCAGGCGGGACTCAATTGTTAGCTCCATCGCTTCCAGATCATTGCTGGGAAGCTCGTCATTGCGCAACGGCAACTCCGGAGAGGCCATCGCACTCGTAGATGAAGCAACAACATGCCGGCATATTCAAGGGGTGGGAATCAAGTAGTCATTTGAAGCAGTCATCCGTCTGCGCATCAGCGACGGGCGGCGGTCACCGGTTCCAACTGTTTACAACGCGAGTGGATAGAGCAAGAATGGAGCATAATTTGAGCTACCGTGGTTTGAATATTTTCCATCTATGGCCTCTAGTCGAACTCCCAAAGTTGAGGTGGAAGAACTTCTGGAACTCTCTCCCTAGCTCTCCCCTGAGGATACGACGGGTAAAAATCAAATCCCCGGGCCGGCGACGGTACTCCATAGAAAGCATATTCAAATGTCGAAGCCGAAGGGATAAGGCAGGTCACGTAACTCAGAGACAAATCTTGATCCGCACCGTTGGATCCTTTCAATCATGTAGCCCTCAAAGTTGGAAAGCGGGTAGGCAGCAGGGAGGCCGGATTCTAGAATCGGGCGCACATGAGTGGTGAACAGTAGTCTACGAAGCTCCGACTTCAGGCGATAGAAAGCTCTTTGGATGGCGTGAAACATCGTGTAGGCGGTGGCAACCCTCTACCTGTTGTCCTGATTGGATCTTAAGTCTGGGGAACCATCATGGCCAGGTCTCTCTCTGAAGTGACATTTTCGAACAAGTAGCCACTTTGGTGGTGAGCGCCGAAGGTTTCAGCAGCGCCGATAGGCAGGATGGAACAAATGTCTTGATTCATGGGTAAGGGCCACTGAATCGACCAATTATGCAGGATATCGAGCTTCTCTTGTAGTCGAGCAGCATCCCCCAGAGAGGATGCCACCTTCCATATCTTTATATCACCTGCATAAATCAAGCAATCCGATTGAATCTCAGTCGGTAGATCGTTGATGAATATGTTGAAGATTTCGGGACCGAGGACGGAGCCCTGTGTGACACCGTTGGTCATATGCACAGGATCGGAAGAAGTTTCGTGCACTCTCACCAGCATGGAACGACTGTGCGGGAAATCGGAAAGCCATGATAGAAAGTTTCCATTGACGGCGGTTCCTCGAAGTTTGAAGAGAAGCTGTTCACGTGGGACCTTAGCAAAAGCCTTACTAAAATCCAAGAACTCAACATCCAGGCATTCGCCAACCTCCAAGGAATTTACCCATTTTTCTCTAGCCATAAGCAAGTTGGTAGAGCAGAACCGAGCTGTGCGAAAACCGTGCTGGGCACCCAAGTATAGATCCAACCTCTTGAGCTGAAGTCGAAGCTTCCGTTACAGGACCCGTTCCATGATTTTGCACATTATCGATGTAAGGCAAATGTGCCCGTTCTCACCTTCGTGTATAGGCCTGATGATGCCCATCTTCCAAGCGGTCGGGAGACGTCCTGATTGAAACGATCGATGGAAGAGGTGCAAGATAGTTGAAGCAATCTACTGGCCAACAGTCTTGAGGAACAAAGGGTGCAAGTCGTCAGGACCAGGTGAGGAGTAAGCATCTAACTCACAGAGAAGTTTCGCCACGGCGTCAATGTTACTATCGACGTGCTCTAACAGAGATGGTGGAGTTCACACAGGTCTGTCAGCGAACGTCGCTTTTGTCGAGTACACTTAAGAATATTGTCGTGCCAAGAGGCTGGTTTTCTCGGTGTCTTCGTGAACGGGAGCCCCATGCTCGAAGGAACACAGGGTAGGGATGGCACTGCAAGCTCTGGTGCTCCGTTTGAGGTAGGCGAAAAGGGTCCTGGGGGTCTTTCTAGAAAATGTGAGTAGAGAGCTCATATTGTTGGCGTTTCTCATGTTTTTTCGGGGTAGAGGTATTCCTAACCGTTTAGTAACCCAGCTAGTCATGCTCTGGTCTAGTGCTTGTAAAGCCGTCCCACAACTTCCATCTTCTGTTACTCAGGGATTTCAATTAATAATCGATCTACAGAGGACCTCTAGAAAGCGGAAGCTTTATGGAGATGGGGAAAACTTGTTCAATGAGAAACGTCAGCATGGAATACAAAAGATTCGAAACACCGTCAGCATTGTGAGGTTCGGGAGTACACCAATCCATAATAGCGGCAGCCATTTTAAGACGAAGGGCGACGGCAAGCCAGAAATTTTGGCGGACGGCACAGGGTTTGTGAATGGTAAAGCAACGAGTCCATTGGAATAAGACAGTACAACGAACACTTTTAACAATAGGCTGAGTGCCTGTTAGGTCCACGACATCTGACTGCACTGGGGAGAGCACAAACTCCAGGATGTCAAGCCAATGGCCGGCGAGAATACACGTCGGCATGGAGACATGTTTTAAAAGTCTGAAGTCAAGAACGGTATCGAGGCAGGCTACATCAAAGAAAGCAGGTGGATGGTTTCAAAGAAGGAAGACCTAGTCGATATTAGGAGCGTTGAAATCTCCCAGAATAAAACAATCCTTTCCTGCACCGTGCTTCCTGATCAGTTCTAACAAGCGAGCTCCAGCGCCCAGTGACGCTTTGTAGCTTACAATAATCAAGGAATCTATGCACCCGTCAGGAATGCGGACCCAAAGGGCATCGAACTCACTGTCACTGTCATATGACCCCTCAATTCCATGGGACTTCAGATCCGCCATCCAGTGGAGCGTTACACCGGCTCCCGACTTCCTCCCAAGACAATCGGACCTAGAAAGGTGGTATCCAGGGACTGACACTTCAGAGTCTATGATGTTCGGGAATAATAATGTTTCGGTGAAGGCCGTGAAACCAAGACAAACATCTGCAGCAAGCGTCTGGAGCTCATGAAGTTTATTTTGCAGACTGCAAACATGGCGAGCAGCACACGCAGTCCCTTCTTTTTTGCCTTACTATCCTTGGGTGACAGAAATCGACCTCCATCGGGTTCTCGGAGTGTTCCGAACTACTCGAAAATTCACCATATGTAGGTTCATTTCCCCACTCTCCCGACTGGTCCTCAGCTCGACAGCTTTTTTCATTTTGATCCGATCTTCCGGGGAGAAATCACTCAAATGCTTCTGTTTCCTCACCATTAACGAATCAAAGATATTCAATTGTCGCAGCTCTAGGGGCTTTTTCACTTACTGGCGCAAGAAACGGTACACTCATTAAGCGGAAGTTTGTTTCGTCCCTTGATCCTGTCCTGTCCAGATAGACCTAAGTGTCGTTCATTCCTCGTCTTTGCATTCTGGTGACAACTGGAAGAAGGCCGCTAGTAGGGGTTTCAGAATGTGGTTAATACGCCATGCTTTCGGGGTCTTAACTGCCGACATATTTGTGAAGCTGTTCTCAGCTTTCGTCCTGCCCCATCTAGAATAGTGGGTCCAGGCTTGCCCGCCCTGCCTTGTTCGGGACAAAATGGAGCTTGAGAGGGTTTTGAGAGTAGGTACCAAATTGGTCGAGGGGTTACGGGGGCAATCGTACCCCGAGCGTCTACTTAGCTGGGGTATGTATTCAATGCACTACCGACGGCTTCGAGGAGACCTAATCCTTACTTACAGCAGTTTAACAGGGAAGGTTGAACCGGACTTGAGCTGGCTATTTAGCCCGGCTAGGTTGTCTTGGCTTCGCGGTCATCCCATGAAGCTACACAAGGCGCGTTTCGACTGGATCAGGGCGGAAACTTGGTTATCGCGTAGAGCTATCGAGCGCTGGATTTTGCTTCCAGAAAGTGTAATCAATGAACCTACGGTCAAGGGTTTCAAGCGTCAGTTAGACGTTCTCGGGTGGCAACACGAAACCTTGCCCTTCTCCTGACCATATTCATCTTCCAACTTTTAGTACTTGTTCTGTCATTCACTTCACTCCTTGGTGTTATCCTTCATTTTAATGACTTTCATTCCCTTTTATCTTCCATTTACTTTCTACTTCTTTCTTACTTCACGTAACCTACACAGCGCGGACTGCTAGTGCAGGGAACGTGGGCAGTAATTGGTTGGTCAGGGTGTGTTTCGGGTGCTTCATTTTAGATCTATCAAGAACTAGCAATTTATAATTTCCTGGCTCAACAATTTGCTCAAGAAGGAACACTTAAGGGATTTTCCTATCGTTCCAGTCCATCTGAATCTGCCGTTTGCTAATCACAGTCACCTTGATCCTCGCCAAATTGCTACATTAACGCCAACTGTTGTAACGCTGCGCAATGTAGTTTCTCCTGCAGTTATGCACTTTAAATGCTGTACAATGGTAGGTCTACTGAATGGCCTTTAAAGTTATGTGTTATAGGGCATAAATAGTTCCCAGCTCGAAAAAGAAATTGCCGACGATCGGGCACTTTGTAACGAACGGTATTTCGGCCTGGTTAATGTGAGTTCAGATTCTCTTTCATTGCCTTATAGTTTGGAAATACTTGTTACTGTAACTCCGTGATACAAGCTTTGTTTTTCTGCAAACCGTTTCGAGAGCGTGTTTTACAGTACAGACAGTCTAAATCCCACAAAAAGGAAACTCTACTTAGCTGCCTTGCCGATTTATTTCATGCTATTACTACCCAGAAGAAAAGCGTCGGTCAGATAGCTCCGAAAAAATTTATTAGCAAACTCAAAAGGGAAAATGGTACGCCCATATTTGTCGTTATTTCTTATGGTCAGGTGCCTTTGATAACTACTTGCAGCAGGATGCTCATGAATTTCTCATTTACATTCTCAATGAAATATCCGACATCCTAGAATGTAAGCATGTTACTTGTCGTTAACTGCGCACTTCAGCTGAAAATCATGCCGAGCAATCCCACCGGTCGGAGCTTGCCAACGGGGGAATTGATAAATCGGAGCCGTGCGAGCGTTCACATAACTGGATTAAAGATATCTTCCAAGGTTGTTTGACTAATGAAACTCGTTGCCTCACCTGTGAGAACGTCCGGACGAAAGACGAAAATTTTCTCGACTTGTCTGTTGATGTGGCGCAGAACTCAAGCATAGTCTACTGCCTGAAGTGCTTCTCTGACACCGAAATGATGCAGTCAGAAAACAAATATTATTGTGAATTCTGTCGCTGCAAACAAGAGGCTCAGAAATGGTAGGTATTTGGTTTCGCTTCCAGATTTTTTCCCCCGCTTTGTTCGGCCCCTTGTTCCTACTACCGTGCTGGCGCGAGAGTCCGCCAAGGGCGCTGACAGTCCACCCGCAGTCCGCTGTGAGTCCGAAATAGATCCAAATTGAATATAAATAGGACTGAGAAGATATTTTACAGCACACACCCTGCTCATCTCCAGGTGGGGCTGATGATAACAAATATAAGACAGTGCTCATTGCCCTATATTCTGCTATCCTTGCCCCATATGCTGACTTGGTTGTGGCACCTGAGCGCAACTAACGCACACAAGTTCGTAAAAATACACAGTAACGTGTGCGGAAGTTGTATTTCTACTGAAATTTATATAATTGTCTCAGAAGCGAGTCATTTCCTCAGGTAGGAGGTCCACACCTTGACGCTCAGCTACATATTGAATCCAAAGCTCGGCATTTAAATGAACTAGTCAGATCCCGCTGCGGACTGTGAGTGGACTACTGACGATCCGACAATGCATTGGTAGGGGAGCGATTTCACGGCATTTAGAGCAAGCTGTCTCACTCGGTACTTCCTCGTCGAAGATTAAATGCCATATTCTGTAAGAAAAAATACTACGTGTTAACACAGTTGCAAATTCCCGAGTCCGCTGACAGTCCGAGGGGGTTTTCACTCATAACGAGATCTTCACTTGGTCCCTCAATATCTGTATGATCCAGTACTGCATGTCTTTACTCACCGAAAACTGTTTTCTTTTGTTTCACATACATCCAGGTTGCTGTTCCTCGTTTCCCTTGTTTTATTTGACAGCAGCAGCGGCAGTCCGCGAGTTATCTGTACTGAGATACACTGACCTACGGAATAAGGAACAATAAGGTGAGCAGGGAAATTAGTGTATAACCTAAATGCTCGAATCAAATATTCAGGATCAATATACCATCTTGTCAGCAACATACCGTCACAAACAACTTGCTACCATGGCGACATAAGGTGGCTTCGGCGAGACGGCTTCCTTGCGGCCTTTACTCCCTTGTTCCATAATTGTTACCGCGCGAATAATTCTGCATCAGCCAAGCTTCAAACAATCATTCTGATTAGGAAACGGCAACAGACGTGCCGTTGATACCGAACGCGAGCCATGACCTGTTACTACTCGAACAAAACGCAAGGTGGGTCGCCTAGACTCCAATCGTATAGGTGAGAAGGACCAACAGCACCCAGTTTAGTCGTCAGTACCATCATTTCCAACTGATAAGTTAACCTGCTCCTCTTAAGTCTTGCGCCGTTCTGGGTAAGCAGTAACCGGGTTTACATATTACACCTCCAAGCCGACGCAATCTGTTTGGTGTTAGCTATTGTTCTAAGTAACGATGCGGATTAACACCGCCTAGTCCTCGCCTCTGCAACTCATTGTTGCGGACGCGTTGGTGCCATCTGACACCAACAATGCTTCGCAAGCAACAATACTCAAGGACTAAAAGGCACTTTGCGTCCTCCGACCGGATGGACTGTCTCGCTATTATATAGTAAGATGTTCCTCACTCTGGCCTTGTACACACGGTTTTAAACCTATGGATGTCGCAGGCTCCAGACACTTCTGGCTTTCGAAACACTCGTCCATCGCCGCTACTACAGCTATTGAGGACATGATACGGAAGCCGGCTCAGTGGATGACATATATGAATTAATGCCTTGAGTTAACTGATCAACACCGTAATCATTAAACAGACAAATGATAACGGCGTGTCAGTAAAAAAAGCAACCTCACTTTTATGTATTCCCCTCTGTGCTTCGTGCTATTTACACACATTCCTGCAGCCTCTCTCGCCACACACATATATCCTCAACTTGGATAGAAACTATTCCACTTTATTTGCTTTGCTCAGTTCTGTTTCTCTGCTCCACGTTCCGTTCAATTTCACGTGTTTATTTTCCTTCAAATTATGTGTTGCTTGTTCGACATCTCCGGTATGACTGCGCTTGATGTGGATGTTGACATAGTTCCTTCCCTTCTAACCCCCTCCACCTCCATTACTGACTCAAGGAAACGGGGTGCGCGGTTCTCGTGATGGTGATTCCATCCGGTGTGGAACGGACTACGGCTCAGCCACCGCGTTATATACGTCTGGTACGCAGGATTTCCCTCACAGAAAGACAGAAATGCTGCTGTTTTGCATATTAAAGGAGTGTGGGCCGGCTTTGTTGATAAAACCTAGCTCCCATCCACATACCTTCCGGTCTTATTCCTTCGGGTTTACACTGGATATGGGGTGTGTGATGGCGATGCAGCGCAAGCCACCCATGGTCTTTCTGTCACTGTGGCAAGCCACAGGACGCCTGCGCCTACAGAGGGCTCATGGATGGCTTGCGCTGCACCACCCACAGCTCCAAGCACACACCCCATATCCAGTGTAAACCCGAAGGAATAAGACCGGGAGGTATGCGGATGGGAACCACGTTTCATCAATGGAGCCGGCCCACACTCCTTCACAGGCAAACACAAGCACGTTGTATTTGGGGAAATCAATCGCACACAAGGCGGTGGCTGGACCGTAGTCCGCTCCACACTGAGTGCATGGAACCACTCTTCGAGCCTAGCACGGCCACAAGGACCGTGCACCCCGTCCCCTCCAGCAACGACCAACTGTCTCCTGGAGCCAGTATGGATGAGATAGTGGGTAATAGACAGGTAGGCACCTTGTCAACATGCACATCAAGCGCAGCCACACTGGGGATATCAAACAACAGCCAATCACTTGAGAAAGGGAGAGAGAAAAAGGGAAGAGAAAAACTCGACTAATGCATAAGGAAACGGTGACATAAACCTTAAGTTAATGAGCACATGTAATAAGTTGTTTGCAAACAAATCTTATCTAAGTGCACAAGGTCAGAAAGTATAGTTCACGGAATGCCACGAACACAAAAATGTTATGGAAATCGGATACAATTGGCTTAGGCGAGGTGTGCAAGTTAATGGAATAGAGTACATGGAGATATTTATATGAGAAAGAAAAGCATTTAGACAAAATTGAAAACCCACCACCTGAAATAATACGACTTAGCATGCAAGCACGCGGTTAGTAAATCGAATTCAGCGTGCCTACAAACGCTGCGCCGGCTCGCCGTAATTCTCTGCAGGACCCGTCGTCGCTTCTTTAGTGGCCCCAAAGGGCCTAGCTCATGGCACACTAGACACACACATATATATATATATATATATATATATATATATATATATATATATATATATATAGCAGCTGACAAGATTGGTTACGTAGCCAGTTGCTTTTTGCTCCTCATCGAAACTCAAGGAACCAGTTATTAGTTAGTGGTCATGTGACTGCACTTCACATTTTTGAAAGTTCGAAACGCCATTCTGGTGAATGGTTTGATTGTTTACTTTGCCGACTTACCTTTATCGAGTAGAAAGGTGACATCATCCGCATAATCCAGATCAACTAGCTTTCCACCAGCCAAATTCTAATGTCGACAGCTTGAGATTATGCAGGAGAACACTCCATAATGAAATCCATGCCAAACGAACAAACATGTGGAGATGGGGCCACTTTGGCGTATGCCGCTTGTTGTCGGAAAGGCATCTAACAACTCACTGGAAAGAAACAGTCGGCATCGGCCGGTTGCCGAGTAGTCTGCGCGCCTGGTTTACAACCATAAGGTCACCGGTTGGAATCCGCGTAGGGGTGGGCCTTCTCGTGGTCTGCTCAGCCCGCGCGCGACTGGTAGTGGTCGTGTGGCAGCGAAGCGCCGTTACGGCGTACAGCTGGCGATTTATTTTTTTAACTGTCTTGCTCTTTCTTCATCCGAATTTTCTGTTCAGCAGTAAGTCGTCGGATGGTAACCGAGTCCAATAAAAGAAAAAAAGGAAGAAAGGTGTCAGCTTATACGCCGTAACGGCGCTTCGCTGCCGCGCGACCACCACCAGTCGTGCGCGGGCTGAGTATACCGCGAGGACGCCCACACCTACGCGGAGTCGAACCGGTGACCTTATGGTTGCAAAGCAAACGTGCAGACCACTCGGCCACCGGCCGACACCGAGTCCAATAGCCGTGACGCTACTGTTATCGGACTGATACTGCTGTGCTATGTACAATTGGTGCAACTGCCCTTATAGATGCCTTTATAACAAATTCCTCTTAGTTGGTTAGATGGTCTGTTTTTTTTCATCCCTGCCCAAACAGGTGAGTCAAAACTTTACACCTTACCTTGATACAATCTTTAAATTGTGCGGATGCAACGGAATCCGAACCAACAGTGCAAAAACTATTGTGGGCTGTGGTCGCGTTTCGAAATTTGTTGGAGCCCCTAAACTTGCTCTTTCTCAGCCTGCATCGGCTAAACAAGAATTTAGCCCAGGAGCACATGGCTGATTTAACTGCTGTCGAAATTGCTCCGACTAACTGACCAACGGTGTTTTATTGTGACTGGGTGTTGTGGTGCCGTGCCTGATTGTCTCAGTGACAATCCCATGCGACCAGTGGTGCAGATCATTTGGAAGAGTTCTATAATTTCCAACGAACGCGGCCTCCATTTCCCGAGGTTTTTTGGTTCACCAAGCTTCCTTATCAGAACACAGAATACGCTTCAACTCGCTTCTAATTTTCCGTCTTGTCACACTGTTCAGAATCGGCAGGGAGTTTTGTTCTGGATTCCAAGATACACAGACCTTTCTGGGATATCCATTGTTTAGTGGGGTGATGGTTGTTAGTACGTCTGACAGACTTTCCCGCGTCTTGCATTGCGGTCGCGATACTATTCCACTGAAGCTCAATGTTTTTTTGGTCTAATTAAGTGAATTTTATGTGTGTAGGGCATCCAGAAAGTCTTGCTTGACTGAGGAATGAGATAAGTACTCAGTCGTTGGCCGAGGAAAACCTTTAATACGCTTCCTTGCAAAATTCATGGAAGGGAGATAGCTTGCCAGGTCACGATCAAAGTCTACCCACGTGTTCCAGCTAATACAACAGTCCAGTATGGAACCGAGTCACATG